ACCATCAGTGATATGCTAAAGCTTCCTGTAAACAAAGACATCACTAAAATTAGGTAATATAAACTTAAATAAGCTGTTAAAAGTACATTTAAAGATATTCAAATCCTTTGCTCTCTAATTATTTTATTTGTTGTACTAATAGCTATGTTCTTGAGACAGCTTGTCCAGTGTTTTTGTATGGTACAAACTCTGCTGGTTGTGAGTGGTACAAATGGTTGAGAACAAGACTGGTTAGGAGGTTGGCGGTTTGAACCTACTTTGAAGTGTCCTCAGGAGACTGGCCCAACAGTTTGTTTTCAACAGCTCTTGGCTTTGAAAACCCTGTGGAGTGCTGTTATACCCTGCAAACATGGGGTCAGCATGGTTTGAAATTAACTCAGTCACCACCAACAACAACCACTGTTCATCTCTTCCCAATTCCATGATGTTCAGCAATGTCTTGGTAGCATAGTCAGCAATGGCAAGAATGTTTACACTGTGAAGGTTGGCATCCAGTACAGTGCAGGACAGCTCTTTCTCTGTCCCTTCAAGCTGATTGTTGGTTGCTCCTTTTCTTCAGCTGGATTCTCTCAGTGAAGCATAGAAGCAAAACCAATGAAATGTACAGAGAAGAGCCCTGTGCATAACGTATAAGGCTGCTCACTAAAGGTGAGCACTTGGAATCTACCAGCCACTCCCCAGAAAAAAAGATGGGCCATAAAGACTGACTTAACTTGAAGGTAGTAGCTGTCTGTGTACATAAAGATTTAGTGCAAGGAAATGCCCATGTCTTGTAGAGGCTGGCAAGTGTAAGATCTGTAAATGAGACCTCAGAAGAGACATTTTTCTGAATTGGTATTGTTATCTGTCAGTTCTGTTCATCCTCTATTCACCAACCCCCTCCCCAGCCTGGTTAGAAATTCAAGAAAGGAGCTTATCCATACCTTGTCCATATTTCTACACTTTTGGCAGACTTGGAGATGGGCTTGCAGGTGAGGGGAGCTATTCCTTGTGGGTTCACAGTGGCCAGTGAATACACTGCAGCCTCTGGAAGAGCTGAGGCCACAGCCATGCAAGTTCATGAAAACAAGCCATTGCCCACAAGTGTGGTGGTCACAGTGTGGTCCAGAATCAGGCCTCTGTTCCCCCACTATCAGTCCTTCAGGTTTCCAGTGTGGACTTCTGGTAGGAGTGCTTGGCCTTGTCCCAGGAATGAGTGAGACCTGCCTGCTTTCAGAACTTCCACGGGGTGTCCTGGTCCACCTGACTATGTACTATTTCTGCTTGATGGCTCTCTGGAATTGCTTAGTGAGTGAATCTCCTTGAGAATACAGAGAGGACTCACCTGGCTGAGGTTTCCCCCTGGGAGATGCTGAGTAGAGCCAACTAGTGCTTGATTTTTCACTGCTGGTGGGATGAGAGATAGCCCCCTGGGACTCCGCACCCAGGCTGACATGTCAGCAGACATGTGCACGTAGGAACTGACTTTCACAGGGAGGTTCTCAGACTCTCTTCTTTGCTTTCTCTCATTTTATTTCTTGGCTTTGTGTTGTATCTAGTTGTTGTTGTTGTTATGTGCTGCCGAGTCGCCTACGACTCATAGCGACCCTATGTACAACAGCCCTAAACTCCGCTCTGTCCTGTGCCAATCACACTGTCTCTGACACTCCCATCCCAATTATCCCA